ATATTTCACTATGAGTCAGGATTCTCAAACAATATGGGTATCCTAATACTAACTATTGGGATACTTTGGGAGCCATACTTTTTTTTATAAACCATGCTATCCATACATGTTGACTAGAGAAGGAGAGAAACAGAATCAGAAGGTTGAAATGGAAAAGAACAGAGAGAAAGAGAGTAAGACAGGGAGAATGTAAATAAAACTTCCTGACCCATGCATCAACACATCTATCATCTATATCTATCTATCTATCTATCCATCATCTATCTTATCTATCACCCATCTATCTATCATCTATCTATATCTACCTCTACTTTTTAATTAGTCTAAATGCATTTTTCCATCCTTGAACAGACTATACATGTCTGTGAACAACACACACACACACACAAGCCAGGGATTTATCAGTGAAAATATTTTTATTTTTACAAAATATTCTTAAGACTATCTGAAATGGGTTGATATTACTTGTTAACTCTGATCTGACATAATGCAAAAAAATGGCTAATGTTTATGTGAACTCAATCTATAAAATGAATAGTTGGGGTATATTGCAGACTACTTCCTACTAAGTGATCAAAAAAGAAATAAAATGATTATCATTGTCTCTACTCGTTCAGTGAAAGAAGAAAAAAAGATATTGAAGGGAGGCTGTCACATGATAAATTGTGTCTTTTATGATGCCCTTATATTATCACCTAACTTTCTATATAACATATTTAACAGATCATGTTGGTAGAGAGGAAAATTATGATTAGAATATATTATAAGAAAACAATTTTTCATAAAAGTAAATATATAAATAAACCCAGGTATTATTTTTAAGTAATTTATTAGGAGCTGAGGTAAAATGCCTGCCACATAATCATAATGACTTAAGTTTAGTCTCCCAACACCCACTTACAAACCAAACCCTGCTGTGCAAACCTGCAATCTTAGCACCTGGTGGTGGAGACAGAAGATCCCTGGATCTCACTTGCCAGTCAGTCTAGACAATTGGCAAATTCTAGATTTGGGAAATCCTGCCTCAAAAGGAAAAAAAAAAACACAGTAGATAACAATTGAGGAGAACATCAATCATACACACATTCACACGCATGGACATGTGTACACACCCACACAAATATGTCCATATACCACACATGCAAAAGGGAGAGAGGTATGAAGTCCCCCTCATACCTAAGGAGCTACTGGCACTTGAAAGCTACTGGGAGAGGGATAATGTGTGTTCTTTAAGAGTGTGACCTCTGATGTATTGACTATGCTTCCAGTAGATGCTTCAGCATCTCTAAGTTTGCCTTTGATTGGCAAAATACAATGCCTGTCTGTCGCCATCCCCCCTACCATGATGTTCATGGGCACTCACCCTCTAAAACTGTTAAGGAAGCGTCCAATAAACTCTTCTATAAGTTGCCTCCATCACAGTGCCTTATCACAGCACAGCAATAGACACTACTACCACAGGGACAAAGACATAAATTGAACGTCCACATAAGGAAGACAGAACTTCCAAACAAATGGGTCGGGTGAAAACTGAGGAGCCTGCTGCCCTCCCTCCCTCTCTCTCCACCTGTATCACTGACATTACTGCCTTCACTGTTGAACCTCTCTGAACTCATCCTTATGCTGTCAAAATGAAAATGCTTCTAAAATTCAATTTTGTCACTTTCTTACTAAAACCCTACATTGACTACTGGGAGTGATTTCCAGGAGCTGCTTAAATTGCATCAATTTGTTATGTCGGGTGAGGTGCTTCACACCTGTAACACCTGCATTGGTACCAGCTATCAGTCAAGGTAGTAGGACCTAGCCCAATGCCAGAAGTGAATCCAGGTTATACAACGAGCTCCAGGATAGCCTATCTAAAGAAATCCTGCCACAATGTAGTCTCAATCAATCTACCCAGAGTAACTTCTCATTATACAAGAAAACTATACCTAAGCACTTATATTTCATTTATAGATGGATGATAGTTTCTCAATACTTTCATTTTCTTTTCTATTCAGAATGCTCCTATAAATACAGAAAACACCTATAATCTTCATATATACCAGTCCCTTCATTGCTATATCTCACTTCCAAATTTTGCAAAGGGTATGCTAGCCAGTGGGTATCTTCATCTAGCAAATAGAAATATATAACCGGCTTTGAACTATTTACTAAATAACTGAGGAAATGTGTACATCAGAGTTGTTGGCACAGAACAGAAGCTAAACAATAAACAGTGGTTCTGTGGCATAAAATCAATTTGATTATCTGTAGGCTTGACTAAACCAGAAGATTTTAACCTTAATACAGCTGTGTATTGGTTACAAATCAGAATGGTGGTTAGGATGAGTGAAGAGAGAAAACGGAATAAGAACTATGACTGAGCCTGGTAACATTCTTTTTGAAATCCACGGTTACAGGCGCCACTACTCTTTGTGGTAAATCTATTATTTGTCAAGTTTGATTTTTCAAATTTGAGTGTAATATTTCATTTAATATTTTAAAAATGTTTAAAAATGAAAAAGGAAGGGAGTTTGTATTTTCTGGTATACATATTAAGTGTCATAAACGTGTAGCTTCATTTGAAATAAAATGCCACTTTCTACATTTTTTTTTCATTAATACCTAGGTAGGTACAAAGAGGAAAATGTCTGCTGTTAGTTGAGATATGAACTGACAACTGTATATACCCACAGGATCTGGGTAATTTGTTCCTAAAAATTTCAAAATGTGTATTATGGTTGAAAGTACATGTTACTAAGACTAATCTGACAAATAATAAATAATAAAAATAAAATAAAAAATAAATAATAAAAGTATGTATGGAAATGGGAAAGAAGTGTTTTTAAATGAATATCCCACAACTTATTTGTAATCAGTAAAGATTGAAAAATGAGTTTTTAACAGATGATTAGCTAAACCTAGAAATATATATATATATACCTATGTTAAATAGCATGGGAAAAAATCCCTAACTTATTAAGTTAAAGCAAGTCACAAATATGACATGTATGTATAGAGGGGAGACAAAACTGTGCAGAGAAACATGTTCTCAAGGACAGAAGCTAAAATGCTAACTCTTGAGATCTTTGGGAAATAAATGTTTTACTTTTTATTTTGCAGTAGGATTTTATTAAAATTCATTTAAAAGATTTCTAAATAAGAAACATGTAACAATATAAACTTGGATATTTTGTATAAATAAACTCACTAATCAATGAGAAAGAGAAAATATGACAGGGACATCATGTAGTATCATGTCAGACATAAGAGAAGCTTGTATTACCGGTTAGTATGCTCACAACATGCTTCGGTAAGCTACTCAAATGATCTTTGTGATCATGCAGGAATTTCACAAACTTCACACTGTACCTCCTAAGAAGCCAATTTCAACCTACATAGAGAGTGAACTGTTCATATGGAAGGTAACTACTTTGCACTTGCATCATTACTGTTCAGTAAAGGGCATCATGAAAAGTTAAGTTTCACTTATAGGATTTTCCAATCTCTTGCCATATACAGTTTAATCATCTAAGATCAAGCAACAATCTGAGTGAAAAGTGGCTATCATCTCAAACTAGAGACACTAGTTAGTGTCTCTAACTAGTTTTGCAATTTACAACATTCTCATCCCCTAGTTGATATACAAAAATTAGCACAATATAGACAAAGACTAAAAACAAGACAATAGCTCAAAAGAGCCACAAGATCTAATGTCATGTACAACAAAGTAAATATCTTTCCACTTTCACTTTGTTTCACAGAGTTTTGCTAACAAGCACTTCCCGCTTGTACCGTAAAAGTAATGATTTCCTAGAGGTCAGTCATCTCCAGCATCAATTGCATTCACTTAAATAAGTAAAACCATGGCAAGTCCATTCTCACATGTAAATTCTCTTTCCAAAACCCTATTTATAAGCATTACTCTCCATTTCCTAGAAAAAGGGTCAGAGTGGTCAACTGTGCATGTTAACCCTTGTCTGCAGCTGAGGGAAACTATTAACACAGCAGGAACTCCTATAGATAAGCTGTTGACACCAGCTTATCAAAGAAGACCATAAATGATGGTATACACCCTCAAATACTAATAGCATCACTTTCACTCACTAATATCCCAGGTTGGGTAGGACATTGTCTGGCCAGATTGTTACCCACACACAATTCATACTGTGAGAGCTCTAGAAGTTAGAGTAGATGCTTCAAGCTATCCACTTCCAGATTTACCACGCCACACACTGAAAAGAGTGCCCAAACTTTTAAAAGACACGGGAGGTACTCAAATCCCACCAGAGTTTCCCTGTTTCCACATGAACCCACTGCCCAATGGATCATCAAACCACACACCTTAAAGATACACTTGGAAATGTGATCAAACTATTGATAATTGTTATGTCCCTCTAATAGTCCAATTTTATGAAACAACAGTATATCCAATCTTCATCTAAGCCTAAATATTTCTATATTGGCAACTGGTATCATTTGCCCAGTTACTTGATTTAAAAATTACAAGACTAAATACCTTAATTGCATCTTTATCAGTAATGTTGCCTTAAATAAGTTTGTGTGTGTGTGTGTGTGTGTGTGTGTGTGTGTGTGTGTACAGTTGTAGATCAAACAAAATCAAAAATCACAAATATAAAATAAAAGAAAAAGTAACTATGAAAATAAGGTTAAATCAAGGATTATTTCCCAGGCATATTAAAATTTTCTGTGATTTTTGGGGGAGGGTAGTTGTTTTGTTTGCAAGCAGTAATTTCTCCTTACAAAAATCCTATATAGTAAGTATTTTTATACCAACATAATGCAAAATGGTTAATATAGATAACTGAAAGAACATGTTTGACTGCATGATATACACCTACATAAAAGACAAAATATCTCGCTCCATTCATTATCGGAAGCTTTAGTTTATACTATATCTACAGACTGTTACAAATATACTTTCCCTAGAAATCTTAGCACAGTCCCTAAATTGCATATCCAGTAAAACAGGATGGACAAAGTCAAACACTCACTTGCACATCTGTTCATATCTGGAGCTCGATGTCCATAGTACCCTGATGGGCAGGAATGCAGGCACTCTCCGTACTGGCGCATCCCTTCTCTTCGAAGGAAGAAGAACAGCTTCTGTTGACATCGGCTGCACCCATTGTCCTTTGAACAAGACAAACAACCCTTGCAAATGGGATTTGATACATAACTAGCTGTAACAGAGAAAAGAAACAAAAATATTTAAATATGAATATAGTTAGAATCTGGGTCTACATACCATAGCAAAAGTAAGAAGTCTTGAGTTACAGACAGAAGAGATGAATCTGCTACTGTCAGCTTTCTAAACCAATATAATTTCTAACTATTTTCTAAGTATTCATCCTTATACCTAGAGATACATATAGCTCGAACCTTATCAAAGAAGCTTCTTTTTGAAATAGCCAAAGACTATGAAAGAGATCAACAACTGGTCAAGATATGGAGACAAAGTAGAGTGCGTAGCTCAAACTGATACATATACAATGCAACCCCTACACTTAAGGCTCAGGGAAATCATGAAGGAGAGGAAAGAAATATTCTATGAGCCAGAGGTCAAGGATGCCTGTGGATGGATCATATCTCCTAGATATGACAGAGAAATTCACCAATGAACTCTCAACAATATGGTTGCCTGAATAAAAGCAGCATCATGACACCAGTGGACATACCAGTGCAGGTGGGAAATTCCACATGTCCCTACCCCTAGATAAGAGATACAGGGAGCCAAAGGCTGCTGAGAGTGCAAGATTAAACAGCCTTTAGGGGAAAAAAATCCCAAACAGGTTTTCCAATTCTAATAGGTCATCCCTAGACTCATATACATATGAAAAAAGCTAAGTGAATGCTGTACTTAATATATATTTATATATGTACATAAGTGTATTTATATATGTGCATAATATATGTGGGTGTGTATAAGCATGTAGATATATATGTTTATTAATGTATTAATGTTAATATAACATTAACAATAATAAAGAAGAGATCATGAACTTGGGTAGATAGATGCCAGAGGAGTTAAGAGTAAAGAAAGAGTAGGCAAGAGTTATATAAATGCAGGGTCATGCTATTCAAATATAGAAGTTTCTGCTTTACTTACACAGAAACATATTAACAAAAATCCTCACCCTGGATGAGAAAGGAAGCATCTAAATTTTAGGAGTATAAGAAAAATATAGTATTCTCTTTTTAGAGCTTAAAAAACAAATATTTAAATTTAACATTAACACAAGACTTGAAGAAACCCAAAGCAAACTTTCTAAATTTCTTCAGTATCAACTAGAAATGTCCTTATATTCAATTATAAGTGAAAATGCACTTGCTATGACTTTATAGTATTGATCAAAATAGTATAAGGCATAGAATTACTAAACCATTGAATGAACAAAATAAATGAAAGAACTCATATGTTTATGGATGGAATGGATATACTGTGGGATGTCCACACTATGCATTCAACTCAACAATGAAAACATAGAAATTTGTAGAAAAGGCAGGTAGGATGGAGATAGAAACAGTGTGGGGATCAATAAGAAAAACCAGAAGGCACCATATACAAGTAGGAAACTGTCAAAGAATATATTAACTGAAACTATAACGAAAATAGGATTTTTAGAATGCAAAAATTGTCAAAACATAGCCACGACAGGAACAGCATTAATAAACCGTATGTTGATGAAAGAATCCAAACACTCAGGAGAAAGGAAATGTTCCAGAAAATGCATAAGGGTAGAAATAAGAATGCCACAGTCCTCCAGAGGTGCAGAGCTGACCTAGAAGGAGTTCTATTTCTAGAGTTGGCTTCTATAGATTACTGTAACAAATATCACAACGTGGTTTAGATGACAGGAATTCATTCCATGTAGTCAAGTTGAGGGCCCTGATGTTAAGATACTGTAGAACACACTTCTGAATTCTGGTACAATCCTTTTTTTTCTTCTCCCTGCTGATGGTGGCCCTAGATATTTCCTGGTTGGGTAACAAGTCACTGACTTAGTCTTCTCCTGGCTAGGTGCTCCATACCTTTTTTTTTTTTTTTGGTCTCCTATAGAAACTCAAGTATCTCTTTTGATAGACTTATTTTGTATATCCTTCACATTGGCTATAGGCATGTTTTCAACTATGAGCTTGTTTTCAACTAAGGTCACATTCTAAAGCCCAAGGTAAACATGAACTTTGCAGGGATAACAGTTCACTACAAGGTTGTATTATTATTCTCCATATTCAGGGGATTTATTATCCAAGTGTGTATTTACAGAGTTTGAATGACTATATAAGTACAACATATATTTTTACATCTTTATAATTAATGTGTATGAGTCATGTGTAAATTATAGGACATTAGGAGGCTATACAATAACTTTATAATGTAATTGCATCTCTTTTCTAGATTCTAGGAATTAAAGTTAACCTGTAAGACATTTTTACTTTACTTTGTTGTATAATTTTTCCCTTTTATTAATAATAGCTTTTTTCTCACATAATATGTCCTGATTATGGTTTTTCCCTCCCCCTACTCCTCCCACTTCTGCAACTCATATCCTGCCTCTACCTCCCAAGTACTATGTTTAAAAGGGTATGCCATCGAGCCTGGCTTTTCTATGCTTGTTTAATAAACAACAGGAAAACATCTCTTTAGGAGATAAAGTAGGGATAATGATAAGATATAGAAATAGGACCTAAAATTCAATATATCATATCCTCATAAAGTTTGTTATTCCTAATTAAAAACAGTACTTTAAAGCATACAAAAGATTTTCTGTGCACATGCTATAAAATTTGGAAACCATATAATCTGGTATTGAATACCTTTAGTATGTTCCTCTCTGCTGAACATATAATCTTATTGCTGTACTATGGAACACATATTCCTATGAACAGATACACAACACATAGCACTGTGCCCACTGTACCTCAGCCCATTGCTTTATGTTAAATGACTCACCTTCCAATATATTAGTAACTGTGGCAGATCTATACAGGTTTTAGTTTCACAAGATTCCCTCCTATCACCTGTCCTCCAAGAGACCTGTCCCATGGACATTCCTTTTACTTGCAAAACTATGTATTCCAAATAATTTTCAATTTACTGCCTTAATTCTGTAACTCTGGAACTATAAGAACCAATCATAGATTGGGTAGAGAAAATAATTCAGATGAAAAAAGTATTTTTAGCTCTAAGTAATAAAATTGGGTGAATACTTTTCCAGATGGTCCTCCATATTCATATATACAATATATGAGTCATAATTTTTCATACATGTGATCATATTACATATGATGGGGCATAATGTTTCCCTTTGGGTAAAAAACTATATAAGCTTTTTACAAAGCAATTACCTAGATTAGTGTCTGTAACCCTATTTCCTAGAAACAATCTTACCTGCTGCCTCCACTTACCCTAAACTTAGCTCAGTTATTTTTAAGAATACTCTTTCTGAAAACCACAATCAATTCTATGCTTCTACGTAAAGCCTCCTTTGTAATTTTTGAACTTTGGTGGACTTAAACAATGAGGAGAATTAGGGAATACTTCTCTGAGTCCAGATCTTATGTAACTTTATAACCCTCACATGAGGAATTCTCCTGAAGCAACAGTAATGTGCGCTACACCCAATCTAAATGCTCTCTTTGCCTTTTTTTAACCCCATTAGCTTTGGTTGCTAATGTTGTCTTCCTTCTCTTACTCTTATGATAATCTTACAGTCTCTGCTACATGCTTTATTTCACTCTTCATTCTTATGAGTTGCACCAATCTCCTCACTTAGGCCTTCATTATTTCTCTTTTGCCTACTTATGGAGCCCAAATATGGGCTAATGTTTTCTTCCTTCACTCTGTATTATATTGTTAAGTGAATTTTACCACATATATAAACTCTATCTTATTTCTACTAGAAATTATTATTTCTTTTAATAAAAACAGTTCCATATAGCTCTCTACATTCCTAGTTTACCTTTGGGAAAGGATTTATTCTCATATTGTTCTTGGTGTCCTGCGCAAGTATGAGTTTTGGCAAATTTCGATCCAGTTGAACATTTCTGTGTAATAAAGGGGAAACAGGGGTAATGGAGTCCAGATAGCTAGGAAGCAGAAACAGGAATGGAATGTAGAGCTGCAGTGCAGTCTAAAAGCTGACTGGGGAAAAGGCAGCTGTCTGATTTTCAGAGTTGCCCAAGGGCTGTATCCACCTAAAGTGCAGCCTCCGTAGATTACCATTCAAGAACTCACAGCTAGGAGACTAAGGTAGGAATGGGAGTTGATGGCAGATGCTGCATCCAGACCACAACACAAGCTCCTATGCAACCAGGGGGAGGAGTGTGCTGCCTATCTGCTGCTGCTTGAGTTAATTACAGATTTGGAAAAGGTTATTCAAATCTCAAAGCTAGCTTTGAAGCGAGAGGAGAATTTGAAAGGTCTGTACTCATGGAAGGAGGTTGCCTATCCCATGGTGATCACAACTCAACTGAAGCTATACTTGCTTTGAGTTCAAAGGTCAAACCAAGAGCACTTTATCATCACAAATCATGCTCCATAGGGGAAGGGAAGGAAATTACAGAACCAAGGGAATCAACACAAATTAAAGGCTTTTGTTGTTGTTGTTGTTTTGTATTTATGTATCGGAAGATTACTTTCATCTTGACCACAAAGATTTAAGAGTCAAAAAATTTTGCCCAGCTTTTATTGTTTAAAAGGTATTCTTTTTGTTTGTTTGTTTGATTTTGAGACAGGGTTTCTCTGTGTGGCTTTGGAGCCTATCCTGGAACTAGCTCTGTAGACCAGGCTGGCCTTGGAGTCACAGAGATACACTTGTCTCTGAAAAGGTATTCTTAAAACCATGACAACACATTGCTTTGGCTACTTGACCCTTGACAAACTTAATAAAATTGAATTAGGGAATCCTTACCATTGTCTATATCTTCCTTATCTTTATAACCTTACCCAGGAGGAATTCTCTTAGATCAGGACTGATGAGCCACACCCAAACCTAAGTGCTCTGTTAGAAGGCCCTGCAGTCTTGGGTTTCTAATGCTTCTCAGTACCAAAGGACAAGAGCAAAAGTGAGTTTCACAACTTGAAGCTTCTTGCCCCAATCCTCAAAGAGATTTTCAGTTTAATTGCCCTTCATTCACATCAGTTAGCTCTGTAGACTTATCTAAGTCAACACCTCTGGAG